CCCCCTTCTTGTGTATTGCTGCCCTCCCCACCCCCAGCACCCAAACTAACTATCCTGTGTCTATTCCCTACCCTGTGCTCCACCTTCTCCTCCCTCCCCTCACCCCACCCCCTATACCCTAATAACCAACAAAGATTCTTTTTTTTTCCCCTTTTAGTGTGGGTAGTTTTTCTTAAGCTTTTACAATAATGGTCCTATGCACTATTTCTCCTTTTGTGATTGATTAATTTCACTCAGTATAATGTCCTCAAGGTTCATCCATGTTATGCAGGGGCTTGCAGCTTCCTTGTTATTCTTCAAGGTAGCATAATATTCCATCGTGTGTATATACCAAAGTTTGTTTTATCCATTCTTCAATTGATGGGCACTTAGGCTGTCTCCATCTTTTTGCTATTGTAAATAGTACTGCTATGAACATTGGGGTGCATATGTCTAGTTATATTATGGCTCATATTTCTTGTGGATATATACCAAGTTGAGGAATTGCTGGATCATAAGGTATTTCTATTTCCAACTTTTCTGAGGAAGCACGATACTATTTTCAGAGTGGTTCGACCATTTTGCAATTCCACCAGCAATGTAGGAGGGTCCCAGTCTCTCCGAATCCTCATCCTCGCCAGCATTTATTGTCTTCTACATTTTTGATCTTTGCTGTTATCACTGGTGTAAGATGATATCTCATTGTTGTTTTGATTTGCATTGCTTTACATATTTTAAAGTAAATCTCAAACATTAGATAATTCCAATTTAAGTACTTCTCTACACATTGTTACAATAAGTAGTGTTTCACTTAGATAATTAAATAAATAATAATTCTTTGGTATTATCCAATAGCCAAACCAAAACCAAACCCAATGCCATCAAGTCTATTCTAATGCATGGCACCTCTATAGGTTAGAGTAGAACTGCCCAGCTTCCAAGGCTACAGATCTTTACTGGAAGGCTATATAAATCTTTATGGGCGCAGACAGCCTCATCTTTCTTCCTCAGACTAGCTAGTGTGTTTGTGAACTGTGGATCTTGTGATTAGCAGCCCAACACTTTTGCACAGCACAACCAGGTCTGCTTTATCTAATACCAGTGCATAGTAAAAAATCCCCAATTTTCTAAAAAATTTCTCTTTACAGATGCTTCTTACCAATCACTTCGTATCAATGATTATACATAATTTGGCATGTGATTTTATCTCTTAATTTGAACTTTGTTTTTATTTGTTGTTGTTGTTAAGTGCCGTCGAGTTGATCGTGACCCATAGTGACCCTGTATAGGGTTTCCAAGGAGCAGCTGGTGAGTGTGAACCTCCAACCTTGCAGTTCAAATGGCTTTGCAGTCTGGCACATTAACCAACAGTGCCACACCAGGACTATTTGTAGTATAGTTAAATTTCGGCTTTTGTTTTATATATATATATATGTTTATTTTTTTCCAGGAAATCCAATAAATTCTCTGTTTGTGGCTCCTGCTGTTACTCCAGTAAAGAGTGTTTTAGAAAAGCAAACCAATAATCCTGGTGTCAGATTATTTCAGTATGATCCTCGTGATTATCTATTATTGGTAAGTTGGCACAATTTTAGAGTTGACTTCATATTTATGCATGTCTTTGCCATTTCCATTGGTTTCTTAGTTAAATTTTATAAACATCACTATTATAAGTTTTATTTTATACTTGTATCTCAGAATTTCTTTTTTCTTATGTTTGGACTATTTGTCAGCACATTTTAAGTATGGTTTTATGAGCTCAACTTTTGGGAGACTGTTGCTTAGAATATCCTCAATCTTGGTTTATCTGTGAACTTGGCACATAGTGACCTTGACCACTAGGCCATGTTGCCGTTGATGCCCATTGACTCATGGCAACCCCATGGGCACAAAGTAGAACTGCTCCATAAGACTTATAAGACTGAACTTTTAGAAGAAGATTCTATCTCCTGAGGATTTTCTGGGTGGGTTTGAACTGTGAAGCATTCTTAATGAAAGTTTTAGTCATTTGACAAGCAAATGATAATTGGTTATATGAGTCTCCATTATAGAAAAAAGCAGTTGGCTGATGATGGCTGTGTGCCGTGGAGTCGGTTCCGACTCATAGCAACCCTGTACAGGATTCCGAGGCTGTAAATCTTTACAGGAGCAGAATGCCTCATCTTTCTCCCATGGAACAACTGGTAGTTTTGAACTGCTGACCTTGCGGTTCACAGCCCGCTTCGTAACCACTACGCTACCAGAGCTCCTTAGAAAGAGCAATTAGAGAGATACAAATCAAAACTACAATGAGATACCATCTAACTTCTATGATCAAAATAAACAGAACTAACAAATGTTGGTAAGGATGTGGAAAAATCAGAATCCTTATCCATTGCTGGTGGAAATGTCAAATGTTGCAATTGATGTGGAAAACAGTTTGGCAACTCCTCAGAAAATTAAAAAGAGAACTGTCATATGATGCAGCAATTCTACTCCTAGGCATCTATGCTCCTATCAGCACTATTCACAGTAGGAAAAAAGATGGAAAGAAACTAAGTGCCCATCAACACAAGAAGATATAAACACAATATGGTATACAAATACAAAGGAATACTACTCAGGCATAAAGAGGAAAAAGTCTTGATGCATGCTATAACATAGATGAACCCTAAAGACATTATTCTGAGTGAATTAATCACAAAGGGAAAACACTGTAGGATCTCACTACATGGCATGATATAACAGATATATAGATGACTTCAAGAAGATGATTGGCACAGTGACAGTTGTAATGGGCTCAAATGTAACAACAGTTGAGAAGATGGCAAAGGATTGGGTAGTATTTTGCTGTGTTGTGCAAAGGGTTGCTATGAGTTCGAAAAGACTTGGCAGCACCTTAATTCCTTTTCACCAGAATAGAATGATTAAGAGTGTGGATTCTAGAAGCGTATTATCTCAGAAGCTATGACTTAATTTCGATGTCCCAGTCAACTTCCCTGTAAAATGGCCATTCAAGTATTTACTGACTTCATTGAACTGATGTGAGGATTAACATGGGCAAATATATATAAATCACTTAGATAAATTTTTGGTCCATAGTAAATATTCCATACATGTTAGCAACAAAAATTTAAAAAGAAAAAAATACTGACTCGGACATTTTACCTAGTAGAAAATGTTCTCTGGAGTGTGTACATGACTTTATTCTTTAATCATTTTTTCTGGGCAATTAGCTTATGACTACTTCAAAAGTTGGATGTTTAGCTATGATTACTTCAATTTGGGAAATTGTTGCTTTCATTAATATATTATGGAAAAATTTGCTGCAACTAAAATTTCTATTAAGGATCCCTGATGGCACAATGGTTAAACACTCAGCTGCTAAGTGAAAAGTCAGCACTTTGAACCCACCAGCTGCTCTGTGGGAGGAAAAGTCCTGGTGAGAAGCTTCTGTAATGATTTCTGCCTAGGAAGCCCTATAGGATATTTCCACACTATTCTGTAGGCTCATTGTAAGGTCACATAGCAGTTACAGTAACAACAAAGTCTCTATTGATTTAATTCAATTTTTTTCTAGATTTATTTAATAGAGACCAATTGTTGTATATTGGAAGGCCATTAGCAAACTATTAAAACCCCAGGTACTACTTACAGCATCAATGGACTCAAGTGTGGCAACAGTAGTGAGGTTGGCCCAGGATTGGACATTGTTTCGTTTTGCTGTGCATAAGGTCGCTATGAGTCGGTGCAGACTCTATGGCACTTAACAACAACAACTGCTTACTGAACTGATGGTTGGATCAGAAACTCTAACAACAGTATTATACCAGTTGACTGGATAGTCCCACAAAGCCGTGACCATGAGCCAAGAGAACTAATACCATAAGGTGTTTGTTTGTACCTAAGTAGTATCAGCAACTGAATCCTCCATTTTTGTTGTTGCTTTTATTTTTGTAACATACATTTGCCATTTAACCTTTTTTCTGGTATACAACTTAGTGATATCAGTTACATTAGTCAAGTTATGTAGACATTACTTTTAATCAATATCAGTATTCCCATCACCATAGACATAAACTCACTACTACTTAGAGAATGATTCCCCTTCTCCCTTCCATCTCCTGCCCCCATGTAACCACTAATAACCACTGGTCTCTATATACCTAGTTATATTACATCATGTAAGTGAGATCATACAGTGTTTTCCCTTTGTAACTGTCTTAATTCACTCAGAATAATGTCTTTAGGGTTCATCTATGTTGTAGCATGCATCAAGACTTTTTCCTCTTTATGTTTGAGTAGTATTCCTTTGTATTTGTATACCATATTGTGTTTATATCTTCTTGTGTTGATGGGCACTTAGGTTCTTTCCATCTTTTTTCCTACTGTGAATAGTGCTGATGGAGCATAGATGGATGCCTAGGAGTAGAATTGCTGCATTATATGGTAGTTCTCTTTTTAATTTTTTGAAGACTTGCCAAACTTTTCCACATCATTTGTAACATTTGACATTTCCACCACCAATGGAACAGGATTCTAAATTTCCACATCCTTACCAACATTTTTTATTTTCTATTTTGATCATAAAAGTGAAATGGTATCTCATTGTAGTTTTGATTTGCATCTCTCTAATTGCTTTTTCTATAATGGAGATAAAACCAATTTGCTTGTCAAATGACTGAAACTTTTACTGAGTTAAGATTGTTACATAAATCTGAATAATTCTTTTTGTGTTGTGTTTTATATGATGAGACGTGAACCAGGCTTTGATAATTGTTTTTAACTATAGGATATGCAGCAGTATTACCTGAACCTGACAGAGGCTAATCTGAAGGGAGAATCCAACTGGACGCTGGAGTACATCATGACTCAGGCCTATGGTATTGAAGATTTGCAGCCAAAGAGTTTATATGGTTTAGCTAAACAATTTGCAATCCTGGACAGTAAGCAGTTCCTAAAATACTACAATTACTTCTTTGTGAGTTATGACAGTGCTGCAGTTTGTGATGCTAAGTGTAAAGTCTTTCAAATTTGTGCAATTATGAATCTTGATCATAGTTCCTATAAAGATTGTCTCAAACAGTTTTACATACAGCACATGTACTAATATTTCAAATTCTGTGTTCATGGAAAATATAATGTTGCTCTCTTTTTGAGATCAATTTGTGGACATTGTTATGTAAATCTGCCTGAGTTATTAAATGGGCAAGCAGAATTTCTGGTTTTGCTTTCTTTTTTTACTATGTCCAAATGTTGATATCTTTAGCAATTCAAATTTTTATTTAATTTAATATATTTAAATTATCTGTTAATAGAATGCTGTTTGGATATGTAAATATCCTAGCTACCAGTTTACAAATTATATCCAATTTATATCCTTGTTGAAACTATCACCTATTCAATAAAGCAAATGACTTCTCCTAAGTATGATGGATTATTTTTAATATGATTTTCAACGTCTTAATTCATTCTTGTTAAAACCTTGCATGTATACTAAGACTGTTGTTGTTGTTGTTAAGTGCCGTCTAAAACTTTAAATCTGTTTACATATACTGTCTACTCTTGGGAAACATCAAGGTCTCATTAGGGCCATCTCCAAATCTATAAAACATCATGGGACATAAACCACATGGATTGTGAAGGAGAATCTTCATTAATACCACTAACATTTATTAACTCCACCAGCTATTTTTATTGGAGCTACAATCCTAGCACAGGTCATAAAATCTAGTGTAGAACCTGGTACTTAGTAAATACTTACTGAAATGCTTGACATTTGCCCCTCAAAATATGATTGGATGCAATGGAGACATTTTTTTTATCCCAAGAGAGAATAAAATGAGCTTTTTGTCACCTTGATAGAATTGTTTTTAGGACTCTCCATGGCCCAACCTGTACTCTGCTCTCTGGCTAACTCAGAGAATTAAGGTATATGAGCAAAGATAAAAGAGAGAGGAATACACACACCAATGTTTGGCTTGCTGGAGAAGAAATACGATAGGTCTGCAAGTTACAGTGGAACTCATCATCCTTGGAACCAGGGCTGGTTTAACTTCATGTAGAAAAAAAGCCTTTTAAATTTAAGATGTCATCATAAACCAATTATACCTGAATGCAAATGAATTATTACAAAATATAAATATAAATCTTATACCTAAAAAATAATCAAAAGTCATTAGGTAAATATCCTTTGGTTTTTAGTTTTAGTTAGTTTTTTTTTTAAGCAAATTAGTGTGTTTCAGAAGTGTGAATATCATGCATGTGAATGTTGGACAATGAATAAGGAAGACAGAATAATTAATGCATTTGAATTATAGAGTTGGTGAAAAATACTGAAAATACCACGGACTGCCAGAAGAACAAACAAATCTATCTTAGAAGAAATACAGCCAAAATTCTCCTTAGAATTGAGGATAGAGTGACTTCATCTCTCATTCTTTAGAAACGCTGTTTGGAGTGCTCAGTCTCTGGAGAAGGACGTATGCTTGCTAAAGTGGAGAGTCAGCGAAAAAGAGGAAGACACCCAAAGAGGGGGATTGACACAGTGACAGAAGCAATAGACTCAAACGTAACAATTGTTGACGATAGCACAGGAACAGGCATTGTTTCCTTCTGTTGTTCATGGGGTCACTTTGAGTCAGAACTGATTTGATGGTACCTAACAATGTAGCGTAAGGAGCTCTGGTAGCGTAGTGGTTACGAATCGGGCTGCGAACCTTAAGATCAGCGGTTCGAAACTACCAGCTGCTCCGCGGGAGAAAGATGAGGCTTTCTACTCCCGTAAAGATTTACACCCTCGGAAACCCTGTACAGGGTCGCTATGGGTCGGAGCCGACTCGATTGCACTTAACAACAACAACAACAATGTAGCGTAGTGGTTACGAATCAAGTCAGCGGTTCGAAACTACCAGTCGCTTCACGCTAGAAAGATGAGCCTTTCTAGTCCCGTAAAGATTTACACCCTCGGAAACCCCGTACAGGGTCGCTATGGGTCGGAACCGATTTGATGGCACTTAGCAACAACAACAACAAACAATGACTCGATGGCACTGAACAACAACAAGAAATGAGAATACTGAAAATAAACATTGATTCTAATAAAATAATCATATCATTTAGAAATCATTAGGCCTGCAATTATATTTAAAGTTGGGTTTTATAAGTGACTAGATCATGTATTTTTATAAGCAGTCGTTCTAAGAAAACAAGTTTGGACTATATTAGATAATTTAAAAGCAGAAAAAAACAAAACAAGAGCATGAGTTGACTAGGTTAGTGAGTTCCTAGTATGAAAAGTGAAAAAACTTGCTAGAAAAGATCTACATCTGTTGTGACTGTAGGGCAGTGAACATTTAAAAGTCCTGTCCATATTTGTCTTACTATTCAAAATTGGTATCATTTTGTATTCAGTTTATTTTCGTCTTAGAAATAGAATGAGCTTAAAGTTTGAGTGACATTTAGGAACATAAGGGTCACTGATGTTAAGTAGGTAGATGGATTTTTTAAAGCAATTCAAGTATGCCTGAATTATATGGTTTATAATTAGTGGGTATATTGCAACATCCATCAAATAGTTTTCTACGATTCATAATAGTCATCATTTCACATGTTATACATCTTCACATGTTTTATCACAAACCATCTTATTCACATAGGAAGAACGTAGAGAAGCTAAAGTGAGTGGAAGAAATGGAGAAGTAAAATAGTTGAACAGAAAATTTCAAAGGGCTTCTCGAGAAGACAAAGTCAAGTATTATACTGAAATATGCAAAGACCTGAAGGTAGAAAACTAAAAGGGCAAAACACACTCAGCATTTCTCAAGCTGAAAGAACTGAAGAAGAAATTCAAACTTTGGGGTAACAATGGAGTCATGGCACGGCACTGTAGGATACGCACTGGACTACAAGGGCAGATTAAACTGCAAGGTAGACGGTTCATCTCAGCAGCCATTCCTCAGAAATCCTGTATAGGATCCCTATGAGTTGGAAACAAAATATTGAATGGCACAGGAAGCATGAAGGGAACATGTAGAAGGAATAACTGAGTCTCTGTACTAAAAATAATTCATGTTCTTTATCACTTAAAGAAGTAGCATATGATCAAGAACCAAAGGAAAAACTATAAGCTGAAATGAAGTCATTTGTGGAAAAAAAGGTTCCAGGAATCAACAGAATACAAATTGGAATGTTTCAACAAAGTGATGTGGCACTGGAGGCACTCACTTGTCTATTCCAAGAAATTGGCAGACGGTTACCTTCCTAACTGATTGAAAGAGATCCATATTAGTGCCCATTCCAAAGGTGACCCAACAGAATGCAGAAATCATCAAACAACGTAAATTAATATCATATGCAAGTAAAATTGTGCTGAATATAATTGAAAAACAATTGTAGCAATAAATGGAGAGGGAGCTGCCAGAAATTCAATATAAGTTCAGAAGAGGTTGTAGAACTAGGGCTATCACTACTGATATTAGATGGATCTTGGCTGAAAGCAGAAAACATCAGAATGATATTTATTTGTATTTTACTGACTACGCAAA